AAAAAGAGCAAAGAAAAGAAAACTATCGGGTTGACCATTCCTAGGCCACCCTCCCGCCTGGACAGGTAAGTTACATTGCGTTTGATCAGGTTCAGCCTGTTTCCCCATAACAGTTGGAAAAAAAAACAGCTGTAGACCTGTGCATAGAGAGATACCGGCAAGATACAGACGAAGCTGACATATAAAAAGATCGGGATCAGGTAAGTTTTGATCAAGTCAACCCTCTCTCTCAAGGAAAGCCTCCATCTCTTCCAGCTTGCTACTTTGGCATTGGCAACTACCAACCTGCTTTCCCAATTTCGATGCCCATAGCCACCAGGACCAAATTTGATGCCCAAAATTTTAATTTCCTGCTGGGGCTCTGGGAAGGCATCCGGAAGTTCGAAGCTTTCACCCTCCTCACCCATCCAGAAAACTTCACTCTTTTCATGGTTGACTTTAGAGCCAGAAGCCTCCGTGAAATCTCCAACAATGTCCCCAGTTTTTGTACGATGGTACAGTTATTCTTTCACCTTCTGTGGGATTAGTATTACACATTTGGTCCTTTTAGAATGTTTTTGAATTGGTCCATTAAGAATCCTATGAGCACATGTACACTATATTACATGTTTAATTTTTAAATATCTATACATATTTCTATGCTTTTACTGGATCCCGCAGATAGTCTAAATCAGCCTTTCTCAACTTTTTTTTTTAACAGTGAGGAACCCATGAAACAAAGTCAGGTCTATTGGAGCCCGTGCTAATAATTATTATATATCTACAGCTGTTGGGAAATTACTGTGAGCATTGTTGTGGATGAAATGCAGGGTACTAAGCATATTTGAAATACAGGGATGCTCTACACAACAAATACTTACTATTATAAGAATAAAGAAATCAACCAAATTTATAATTATGGCAAAAAAAAAAAAAACCACCAACCTGAAATTTGTAGTGCTCCTCCATATTGATGTTTAGTGGAAAAGTGCCCACTTACATTGATGGGCAGTGAAGTACCCATTTTTGTGTATGGTGACGGAGTAACATGTCTGTTAGACTGGTGGTCAGTGGAAGAGGGACACCTTTAGATTGGCAGTCAGTGGGAAGAATGCTCCTTACATTTGGGGGTCAGTGGGAAGAACGCCCCTTACATTGGTGATCAGGGGGAAGAACGCCCCTTACATTGGCAGTTAGTGGACCTTAATTAGGGTAGCTACACCACCCAGGATAAAGTTCAGACTCGTGGTAGGAAACATAAAAAAGAGTGCTCCACATTATTATTATATTATACAGTATTTATAAAGCGCCAATAGTTCGCTCAGCGCTGTACATTACAATGGGGGACAGAACAATAACAATACAATGCAAAACATGAGGGGATTGAGGGCCCTGCTCTTTCGAGCTTACAATCTAGGAGGGAGGGGAAGGTGGCACAGGAGGATAGCTGTGGGGGATGGGGTGGTAGGAAAAGTGGAGGAGGTCGGCAAGTTAGCAGGGGGTGGGGTAGGCTTCTCTGAAGAGGTGGGTTTTCAGGGTGCGCCTAAAGGAGAGGAGAGTAGGTGATAATCTGATGGGTTGGGGCAGTGAGTTCCAGAGGATGGGTGACACCCTGGAGAAGTCCTGGAGGCGGGCATGGGAGGAGGAGACCAGGGAACTAGAGAGAAGGAGGTCTTGTGAGGAGCGGAGTGTGTGTGTTGGGTGGTACTTGGATATTAGGTCAGTGATGTAGTTCGGGGCAGTATGGTGGACGGCTTTCTACATCAGTGTTAGGATTTTGAATTTGATCCGTTGCGCAATCGGAAGCTAGTGGAGGGATTGGCAGATACATAGTGTAAAACCATTAAGACAACATTTATTTAAAGCATGGTTGCACTCACATGAACGCAAACATCATTAGGCATTGATAGGCAAAAAATCCAAATTTTCCAGTTTCCAAAATGGCTACCGGCCAGTCGCGCATGCGCAGTAGTGTGTGTATGTGGCTCCACCCCTGTTTGGAAAGTCTTTACTTGCTTTCTTGGTGATCTGGAGGAGGATCCGATTGTCTGGCTTTCTGGGTTGTTTAACAAAGCGCGATTGACCACTCTTAACAGGGGGTCATGCTTTCTGGTAACCTTTTCCTATGAGTGGTTGGTGACACAACTGTCCTTGGATTTCCTTTGTTTCATCACAACCTCTGGGGACTTTTCCTTTCATTTTGGATGGACTATTTTTTATGACACATTGTTCACAGTTTTTTTCACTAATTATTTGTCACTTTATTAAGCGCTGCACTTTATGTATATATAACACATACACTACTCAATATTATTAATATTAATAGTAATGTTTCAGAGTGTCATTATTTTTGTTGGTCGAAGTTTTGCTCTAAACTCTCTTTTCCTGTCCAGTGACAAAAGACGACATTTACCTTTGATGCGATATTGCCAGAATTATCACCAGCAGAAAGGATGAAGCCGTTATTACAGGTAATATAACATATACGCCTCCATTATTCTTCATCTCGTTGGGTTCCTCTGCAAATAAAAAGTGAAAATCATCAAACAAAGAGAAACAAAAACATCATTACCATAACTTTATATCGCAGTCGCCAGGATCGAACGTTCTCTCTCCTTCATTGCCAATAAATGGATTACACCAGTGAATTTGTTTCCTGTAACACTGTTCAACAGGTAAAAAGTTTTGGGCATAAAATTAGCTAATCTTACATAATTTTGGGGTGCTGAAAACGAAAATGACCCTAAAAAATGTTGATTGGCTCTAGTTTCCATGATATATTCACCCATCTAATGACGTAAGCCATTCAAAATTATGATGCAACTTCAGCTGCATATTGCGCAATTGATACTGGTGACCAATAGAAAATTGCATGTATACTGAGATGATGCAATATTAGCCTTTAATTGCATCACTTCACTGCATAAAAGCTGCAGTATCTGTAGCTGATTGTAGTTGGACAGCGTCTTTACATTTCGTTTTATGCTTATATAGGCTACTCAGTAATGCCTCGAACTTGTGTGAATAAAGCAGATAATTTCTGCTATATCTGCGGTGAAATAACTTTTATCTCACAAAAAAGGAGGATAACAGGAATGATTAAGAAAGCCTACAACTTGTATTTTGGCTGCAAGATAGGAGACCAGGACAAGAGCTGGGCACCACATATATGCTGCAATTCTTGTGGGACGGCACTGGAGCAATGGTTGAATGGAAAAAAGGCATCTATCCCTTTCGCTGTGCCAATGATTTGGAGAGAGCCAACAGATCATGTTAGTAATTGTTACTTTTGTATGGTGCCTCCAATTGTAAAAGGGCTAAATAAGAAGAAAAAGTTATCTGTGCACTATCCAAATTATTCCATCGGCAATACGTCCAGTTCCTCATGGAGAGGGGCTACCAATTCCTAAAGCACCAGAATCCTTCGTGGTTGAGTCAAGTGAGGAAGAACCTGAAGCGTGTAGTCACGTGCAGTTGTAAGAGATAGCCCTTTCCTCGAATACAAGAGAAAAGCCAAGAGAAGAAAAACCGACACAAACTGAAGACAAAACTAGTGAGAATCCTAAGTATTAAAATGATTCAACTTAGCTTATGGCTATAATTTTTCTTGGTAATCCTATGCAATATATTATGCCATTTAGGCTTTGTTATGTAGTCAATATCACTTGCTTTATATTTGTGGAAAGACATCTATCTATATAATTATTGTGCATTATGTAGTCATTACGCCTATAGTAGAAAACTTTCCATTTACAGAAAAACTAGAGCCAATTGACAAATTTCATTGTTATATTTGAACTCAGAATGTGAAATTCATTAAGAAATGGATCCTTTTGTTTCCAAAACTGGCAAAAAATAAAAATTTGTTGAACAGTGTAATCGATGAATTTGGAGCATTATCAGCTAATTAGAAGAAACCTGCGATAACAGGTTGTGTAGGCTGAAATTTTTGCCCTCCCTTCCTGAAAATGCTGTTTGCCTGGCTGTGTTGGTGAACCAATCATTTTATTAGTAGTCAGGAGTCACCAAGTTCTCCCTGACGTTCAGGGGCGGACTGATCATTTGAGCACTCAAGCACTAGCCGAGGGCCCGGGGTCAGTAGGGGGCCCCATGAGATGCCCCTGGTACCTTTCATAGGATTTTTTGGGTGTGGTTTTGAGTGTGAGCAAGGACACAGGGACCCCCATGATCTCTGATTGCCGGGGGCCCCATGAGTTGTCAGTCCGCCCCTGCTGACGTTCTAATCAATATGTTTGTTCCAGGTAAGTGATGGCACTGATGCTAGAGGCAGCCAAGCAGGTAGCATTTTTCAGATGGAGGTCAGCAATGGTGGTCTCTGTGCTTCTCTTGCCATTCCAGGTCTCAGTGAAGGATGGGAGATGTAGCCTCACATACAGGAACAAGATAACGAGAGGCATAGCTCTGTACGCAGGAACTAAACCAACAGAGATATAGCTCAATATACAGGAACTATGAGACTCATAGCAAAAAATACTTTTGAATTTACCACTTTCTATGAACCCAGGTCATCCTGCACCTGCCCCCAGCCTGCGACTGGACAGCAAAAAGAGAAGCAGCACAGTGATGAGCTTATCTTTCTGTCACTCTGCTCTCTCCTCCTATCTGTGTGCTTGTTGTCAGCACATGAACTGATTGGCTCCTTGTGCTGCTTCTTCCTCTCAAACTCCAGTCCTGCTGTACAGGGACTGCAAGAAGCTGATACCAGATCACATTCAGGTACTTACACTGCTTGTATTTAAGTAATACATTTAATCCTAGGTTGTAAGCTCCCAGGATCAGGGCCCTCCTTTCCTCTTGTATTGAACTGTATCGTTGCTGTATTGTCTCCCTGTATATTGTAAAGTGCTGAGCAAACTGTTGGCGCGATATAAATCCTGTATAATAATAATAATATATAAATCCTGTATAATAATAATTGTGCATTCATGATTACTGAGCTGCATTGCTGGGTTTTTTTTTTACATCTGCTTAGAGTTCAGTTTTAATTTTCAGCATTTACCTTTAGAAAATTCATAGGTGATTTTCGGGCTTCCGACACCTTCCAGAAACACTGGAGTCAGGCTGAACTGGTATTTTTCAATGGTGAAAAAATGGTCTGTAAAATGAAAGTGAGGGATGGTGTCATTCTGGGATCCTCAGAAGAAAGGCAAAATGAAACAGAGTTTGTCTTAGAGCCTTGCATTGCACTGTCTACTCCAGGGTTTTTCAGCTGGGGTGCCGCAGCATTCTGGGGTGTCGCAGAGTCCTCAGGGGTGCCGCAGCCACATCCTGGTCTGAGAGCTACTGTGTTACCTCCCATACACTGCGACTCTGCCAGAAGAGAGAGTGCACAGCCCACACGGCTCTCTCCTCTTGCCTGCAGCTATGGGTACTAACAGGGGCAAACTGACAACTCATGGGGCCCCCGGGCAATTGGGTATCATGGGGCCCCTGTGTCCTTGCCCAAACTCAAAAAAGCCTATGAAAAAGGTACCAGGGGCATCTCATGGGGCCCCCTACTGACCCCGGGCCCTCGGGCAGTGCCTGAGTTTCCAAATGGTCAGTCCGCCCCTGGGTACTATTTATGGCAAAGCCGAAAGCTTTGCGGGGCCCCCATCCGCATCCTAACAACCAATGACATCATCGCTTGTTAAGGGCATGTCGGGTGGCAATACAGCTTTGTTAGTGCCCATAGCTGCAGGCAAGAGGAGAGAGCTGTGGGGGCTGTGCACTCTCCTGGCAGAGTCGCAGTGCACGGGAGTTGTGCTAAGAGGGGGGATGGGGGGGGGGGTGGAATTTGAGGAGGTTGAGCAAAGCCCACATTTGTGCTGGTGGTGAAGATTTGGTGGGGGGGTTGCGCTAAGAGGCAGGATTTGGAAGGGGAGATATGAGGGGGGTTTGTACTAAGAGGGGGGATTTGTGGGGAAGGGATCTGAGGGGATTGGGGAGGGTTGGAGCAGGGTTTGTACTAGGAGGGGGGGGGGGGGTGGGGGGTTGGTTGTGCTAAGAGGGGGGATTTGGGGGGGTGGTTGAAGAGATAGTGCTAGGATAGGGAATTGGGAATTGTGAAGTGGGGTTTGTGCTAGGAGTGGGAATTTGGGAACAGGGATGTTTGTGCAGGTGGGGGATGGGGAGGTTGTGCTTACAGAGAGATTTTGTGGGGGATTTGTGTTAGAAGGGGGGATTTGAGGGGGTTTTGCTAGGAGAGGGGATGGGGGGGGGGGGGGTTGTGCTAAGAGGGGGGATTTGGGGGAGGTTTAGAGGATAGTGCTAGGAGAGGGAATTGGGGGGTCTGGAGTGGGGTTTGTGCTAGGAGTGGGAATTTGGGAACAGGGGGTTTGTGCAAGGAGGGGGGATGGGGAGGTTGTGCTTACAGAGAGATTTTGTGGGGGATTTGTGTTAGAAGGGGGGATTTGAGGGGTTGCTAGGAGAGGGGATGGGGGGGGGGGTTGGAGCAGGGTTTGGGAGCTGGGGGGGAGGGTTGTACTAAGAGGGGAGACTTGGGGGGTTGAGGGGATAGTGCTAGGAGAGGGAATTGGGGGGGGGGGGGTCCGGAGTGGGGTTTGGAATTTGGGAACAGGGGGGTTTGTGCAAGAAGAGGGGATGGGGAGGTGGCCTTAGAGAGGAATTTGGGATTTGGTGGGGGATTTGTGTTAGAAGGGGGATTTCAGGGGGGTGTGCTAGGAGAGGGGATGGGGGGTTGGAGTAGGGTTTGTACTAGGAGTGGGGATTTGGGAGCTGGGGGGGGGGGGGTTTGCACTCAGAGGGGGGATTTGGGGGGGGGGGGGGGTGCTAGGAGAAGAATTTGTTCTAGAAAGGAGAATTTGGAGGGAGAGTTAGAACCTACGATCACTGAACATTAACAGATGCGACGTGCGTGAACATGCGAAACGTGCGGCTCAGATGCACCTTCTGGTGTAAACGAGCCCTCAGACCGGTGTGCCCTGGGATTGTGCACAGATCAAAAGTGTGCCTTGACTGAAAAAAAGGGTGAAAAACATTGGTCTACTCTATTTCCTGTACCTTTAATGTAGTATCTGCTGACATTGGGGGGAATATACTCCCAGCGCACATGGGATTCATCGCGGAGGTTCTTCCATTCCAGGACAAACTCGAGGACTTTGTACTCCACCGGAAGCAGACTCCACACTGCGACCACACTTTTGTTCAGTGGGTGCACCTCCAGAGATTCCACTGCCTGCACTTAAAAGGCAAAACACACAATTTATTGAAAGTTGGCTGATCTGTAACCTAATTAAAGTGTATTTTTAGCTCCAATTTTTTTTTTAATGAATTTTGGACAGTGAAAGCAATGGTTAAAATACCTGTCAGGGTTTATTTATTTATTTTTATATTTTTTGGTTCTTGTCTTAATGTCAGGGTTGGTTGAGTCACTGCTGGAGGCTCAGGTACAGGGGCACCTTCACAGATGGTCACCCCTTTTAGGCATTTTGTGCTATGCTATGCAAACCAACCAGGTCCCACTCTATGGGGTCTATGTGTAAAATATTTATTGTGTCAATGTGACAAACATTCGCACATTTAGAATGAAAATCTCTGTATTTTCTGCAATATACGTTCTTGCTACAGTATATCTTCAGGGCCACCTAGTGGCCATAATGTGTTTTTTTTCTATAAATACCTCAATCAGGAAAAAAACACATTGTGACCACCAGGTGGCAATGACATACATTCTAAATGTGCAGATGTTTGTGGCATCCACCCAACAAATGTTTTATATATAAACCCCATATCTATCCATCTATGGAGGGGCCCATGTTTTTGATATTTACCCCCCCTCCCACCTTATCAAATGTATCAAACACAATTTTTATATAGTTTTGAATAGAAAATGGACTGGTTAGAATCCGTGTCTGGAGGTCTTCTGGGGAGATTTTCCTTGTATTCTGTACAGAAAACTCAACAGGAATTGAGAAGCAATCTCTCCAAAGCGAGGGGAAATTTCTTTTTAGACAGTTGTTACCGTAACAGGTGTCCCCAGTGAAAAAAATTTCCTTTACTTCCTGTGTATACCTGTAAAATTTTGTACTTCTTATCATCTACTGTCCCAATGACAGCAGTCACCAGGACGAACAGAGAGAGTGATCCCCCCCCCCCCCCCAGGTGGGACATAGACAGAAACAAAGGAGCTAAACCCTTCCCTACCCCACCCAAATTAAAAAAATGTTCTTGCTTTAAACATATTCAAAGGTGAAGGGCTGGACTGGTAACCTTTGGCCCGAGGGGACAACTATTTAACCCTTTCATGGTAGGGATAGGCTAAGTAAAGTGTTCCATGAAAAGGGTGGCATTGTGCCCAAGTGATTGGTGGGCATGGTAAAGGTGGGTGTGACTAAAGGACATGGTTTATTGTGATACACTATCAGGATATGGATCACCTGCTGTTGGCACTGTGCTTCCCAGAGCAGAAAAAGTTGTAGTGCTGTTGTCCACCAGTGGGTGTCTCCCAGAAGTCAGCAGATCCCAGTAATCAGTTTCTACCTGATGCTGGTTGCTGGGAGGGGTACTGTATTTAGGTCCTTCTAGTGCCTCTCACGCTAGTGTTTTGCTTTGCAGCCAGATATTGCTTGCCATTCCCGAGTCTAGGTCCCGATCTTGCGTCTGCCTCCATCCTGTACCCTGCTACCTCTTTACTGCTCCCCTTGTAGCTGATCCCAGTCCTGGTTCCCCCTTCCAATCTGTTCCTGCATCTCCAGCTTACCCTTATTATTCGTGTTGCTTATTTTTGTACATATTGTACTTAATTAGGTTGCTAGTTAGGCATTTTGGTTATTGGGTTATGTTCAATTATATCTTTATGCTCGCTGTGTTTTATGTTTGCTGGTGCTGGGATGTCTTTTGTTTTACTATTAATAAAATGACTTTACTGTATATAGCAGCGTTCACTAAATGGCGGACCACGGTCCGAGAACGGCCCCAGCAGAGCTCCCTTCCGGACCACCAGCCCGCAATGACAGATCCACCGCTGAGCAGGGCGGTCGTCACGGAAACATGACATCACAGTGTGTGCCCCGCCCCTCGCAGCAGGGGCGTATATAAGGAGGAAGTCAGGGGGGTCTGAATTCCCCCCCCCCCCAGTGGAGAGTTGCCAACCATCCCTGCAGCCCTCGAAATTTACACTAGCCCCCGAGTAGAAATAAGGTAGGGGGAGCGAGCAGTGCCGGGACTAAGGGTGTGTGGGAGGGGAGGGTGGCGGTGGAGGCAGGGACAATCAGCAATCTCCTGTGTGGCTTTCAATGAAGCAGCTGGAAGTCGCGGGAGGGAGAGGAGGAACACAGCAGCCGACAGCTCTGATGCATCTGAATGAGTCACATGAATCCAACCTACCATCCACCCACCCACCCCTCCCTTCCTTCCACCCACCCACCCCTCCCTTCTTTCCTTTCACCCCTTCCTTTCACCCACCCATCCCTTCCTCCCTTCCTTACTTCCCTTTCGCTGCCAAGTCCATACATAGTACGGACCTGACAGCGGGGGGTTTTACACACATGTACCCTGGGGTCCGCTTGCTTATCTGCAGGCCCAGGACCGACACATAGAGGGTGCCGCTGGGTAGAAGGAAGGGAGCAGAGTGGACACACATCCTCTCTCCTTCCCTCTTTGTTGCTGACCCAGAAAGCGACATGTTTGATGTCACTTCCAAGTCCGCCTCTTAGTGTCCCCGGTCAGCATACCTGGGAGCGAATGTAATCCAATGCGATGTGCATAGCATTACCTTCAATGAAGCATAGGGGAGGCATCCAGGGTGAGAACCCGTCACCTAAAATTTATCACATAGGGGACTTTTTGTTCCCTATGTGATTAAAAAAAAAAATTTAAAGTTGTAAAAAACTAAATTTACATCCAAGCACATAAAATCCCCCCCCCCAAAAAAAAAAAATGTTTGAGGCCCCCATCCCACCTCCACGTATATGCACCTATGAACGTAAAAAACACGCATCGGGGGCACCTACACATAAAATGCCAATTGCGATACACATGTTACATATCGCCATGCATGCCGGAGTGAGAGCAATATTTCTAGCACAAGACCTCTTCTGTAACACTAAACTGATGACCTATAGGGGCTTTTAAAGTGTCGCCTATAGAAAATGTAGGGTACTAAAGTTTGACATGTTGGGTATCTATTTACTTGTTGCAACTTTGTCTTTTATATTCTACCAAAAAATTCAGTACTTTATTGCGTTTGTGTTCCCTAAAATTAAATTTAGTGTATTTTTTACTGAAATCTTAGGTTTTCTAGACCTGTGCGGTAATAGAGTGTTACATAAAAAATTGGTACTGCAACTATTTCATTCTCTAGTGTGTCTGTTTTCAGAAAATATATAATGTTTTGGGGGGGGTTATATAATCTTAAGGCCTAAAATAATTTTTTAATAATTTTTTAAGCATGTGTGCAAATAAAAATGTAAAAAAGGCTCTGGCAGCGAAAGGGTTAAAACACTAAGACTCATTAATAATACTTATTATATTTTATAATATCTTTTATGGTTTACCTGTGCTCATCCTTTGTGATAGCAATAAATTCCGGTTCATACTGGAATGACCAAGAGCATTGTGTGCTCGGACGGTGGTGACGGTAACAACACTATTCTGAAGAGCAAATGTGTAGTTTGTGGAGTTTCCAATATATATTGATGAGATAACTACATCTGACTTTTCGTATAACACTTCATATTCCACAGGACTGCACAAGAAAGGATCCTTCACTGGCTGCAATACATATCAACAATGATTAACAAAACTTAAAGTCTAGTTCCCATCATATTTTAATAAAGGGAGCATCTGGGAGTAAAAACACATGGCCTACTTGAGTCATGATACAAAACTCGTATTGAAGCAACATGGTTGGGTACTATCTATAATATGTTTTTTATTTGTATTAACACTTCACTTTTTGAGACAAGCTTTTAGGGCCCTACCCCTTTCTTCTAGGTTCAAGCAGGACCGATATACTGAGGTTTAGCAAAATGCTGAGACAGAAACATTTTGGAAACTGGGGAAGAGTAAAAAAAACAACAACAAAAAACAACACGGGGTAATAAAAGTAAGCCTGATGAAGAGTAAAGAAGTGGGTTATGGAATGGGGACATAAGGAATTAGCTTAAAATATGTGTTCAAGGATTTTTTTAATCAGTCTGTAAATTGTAAGTCAACGGTTTAACAGTTTCTTTTGGTCTTTTTTTAGTCTATGTTCAGCTCTTTTCTTTTTGCTTTTTCTCTACTCACTAAGCAAAACTTTAAAAGATCAATTTATGCCGTATTTTCAACCACATTAAACCAGCTTTTAATCACAAAAACCAAATGGATCAATGGAACTTATGATATTTTTTTTATCCAAACCATGACATTATTAAAACTGTTGATGGAAGGTTCTCTTGGTCCCTTTAACCATTTTGTGATCCAAACCATGACATTATTAAAACTGTTGATGGAAGGTTCTCTTGGTCCGTTTAACCATTTTATGATCAAAAAACTAGAAAAAGTGGTGGAATTTGACAAACATTGCCAGCACTACTTTTCAACATAAAGGCATAAAAAAAGGCCTTGTTTACGCACCCATGGCCGTTCCGTTAATATCAAAAACAAATTTTAGAACAAGAGTCATTGTTTGGTCCCCTAAACAAACTGCCATACAAAACCGATGTCGTCTGGGAACAGTTAGAGAAAAAAAACTTAATCTGTAAGTAAAGGCAATGCATTCTATACATAAATGAAGAGAAATTTGGGATCTGGACACCACATAGAGCAACAATTCTTACCTGTAATTCATGATATCAAAATTATATTTTATATGAAAAATTTCATAGTGTTTAAATGCAAAAAAAAGTTCATAGATTGCCTATGGTAGCCTTTCTCAACTTCTTCAACGCAGAGGAACCCTTGAAATAATATTTTAGTCTCAGGGAACCCCTGCTAGATATTACTATATCTGCAATTCATGATACATTAGTGTGATGGTCAGTGGGAAAAATGCTCATTACACCTGTGGTCATTGGGAAGAATTACCGCCTTATAGATAGCTAAAAAGATCAATGGTGTCAGTGGGAACTTATCCGAGAGGCAGAAATTGCTCATTGCTCAAGGAACCCCTAGCAACCTCTGGAGGAACCCTGGTTGAGAAACCTTGACCTATAAGAAAGCTGCCATTTTTGGGGATTTAGTAATAGTCTCAGAAAAACGACCTTCCCAATTAATTAGGAACTTGTGGCATTACTGAGATAAACCATGGATGCAGCCATCTAATTGGCTGGACCTAGATCATTGAAAATGAAACCTATTTATAAGGAACTTGAGACATCACAAGGGCCATTCCCATCGTGCAGTCTAAAGAAACCGCAGGCAAGCTTCTTCCAGCCCTGGCAAGTACACCTCAATCTTTAACTATTTTTAAAAGGAGGATTGTATGTATTGAATTTACACTTAAGAGAAGCATTATAGTCATTACATATTCCAACTAGAAACCTTCTAACGTCAATAACGGCAAATTTTTGTTTCTACGTTTCATACACAGCACCCTTGTGTGTTTACCTGCCATTTTAATGTAATATTGTCTCCTTTCTGTAGATGATTACTTTGCACAATTCTCCAAAATTCTGGCCCCTTTACAGGTGCTGAAACATACATAAATGTATTTATTATTTATTATATATCATTATTTAAAATTCCACCTTTTCAACCTTCCTTAGTAAATAAAGTAATCATACTACCTCTGATGTCCTTGATGATTGGACTAATAGGATCACTCCAGTCGCTCCAGTACCCTGATTCATTCAAAGCTCTGCAGCGGACTTGAACGACATATGATTTACAGGCATCCACTTCCTCTATGGTGATCGAAGTATTAATATATATATCTAGAACCTGGAAAAAGTATTGGATTGTTTTATATTGTTTGTGTATCACTGATAGCCAACTGTGAAAAAAAAATATTCAATGTGTTCATAAGAAGGTATCGTCATCAGACATTGGCTTATTAGTTTTTTTGGTGGACCTGTTTATCTGTCTAAATAAAATCACTATTTCATCTCCTTGTGGGTTGTAACTAGTCAAGCTGGGGTCTAACCTGGATAGTGCCCAGGTGACTGACATCCCATTGGATGATGTTGTAGCAAACTTGCTCATCAGAGATGGACGCGGAGTTCCCCTTTTCCTTTTTCTTTTCTTTTTATTTGAGGTATTCCTCGATCTTTCACTCCATACCCCCTCCCTTCCTGAGTGATAGATGGTGGGGGGGGTCAACCACAGGTTAAGACATCCTTAGTTTGGTGCCGAGCAGTCTGCGAAAGTGTAACCTTTCTCACCCATCATAAAACAGATAAGGCAGCTTCTCCCTGGACTTGAAAGAAGTTGGAACCTCATAAAACTGACCAGCAGGTGACAGGAGTTAATTGAACATCCCTCAGGTCAGCTGTCACCCCCCCCCCCCCTGCCCCCCCCCTCCCCCGCAACGGGATTTTAAAAAGGACAAGCTGCAAGCCTGGAGGTAAGCTAAGAAGAAAAAGCACATCTCCTGAGTTTAACATCGTAACAGAGGAGATCAAAGATCCTTCCTGCTCTGCACTTGGATCAGCTTACAAACCAAGGCATATTGGCAAGTAACTTAACCCTTTAACTTTCTTCCTATCTCTTTGCTGTACCTTTATATGCATATATATATATATATATATATAGTTACATTTTCTTTGTAAATATTTTATTGCACCTGTTTGACTCTTTTAGTAATAAATCTTTCTTTCTGAAAGTGTTAAACTGTTTCTAAGCGCTTACTTGCAATTCACAAATTCCTGCCTTTGAAGAGACGCTACTGTGTTTGTTTAATCCTCTGCCCAATCGGCCTGCGGTGACCGTATTGGACAGGCGACTTTTCAATCATTATAGTGTATATTTGATAATGGGATTTTCCCAGTCTCCGACAAAAGTGGTAGTGGCAGTAGAGGGTTAGTTGCGTAATTAACTTGACCCAGTAACAAGGGCATTCAGGCTGCAGGCACTGATTGTAGCCCAATAGCTGGACAATCGCTGTGCAGGGTGCAGCTGGGTAGGGCCTTGTTACGCGCATCACACCGCGGTTTTAGATCGGCCGGTCCTTCGGTCACGAGTTGGTGAGAAGGCCTGGGGTCTGACGCCGCGGGTGTGATGTATTACTGTTAGTCGCGGTCGTGCGATTGTCGCATGTTGGTGCCGGCGACCGTGCAATCGTGACAGATGTCTGCAAGGTTCTTGGGACAATGCCACTTGGCAAAGTCAACAGCATGACACCAATGAGCTGTCTGTAATGGTGGCATTCTGACTACCACTGTAAGATAGACAGTCTTCACACTGACCACCAAGCCTTTTCTTTTTGTGATCAGGAAAGGAATACTTATAAAAGATGTGGCGAGCGCTTCTTGTATAACAATAAAGAATATATAAGCAGCTAAAGCACTGAAAGGAGATCACAACAGCCTCAGGTGAAGATAAATAAATAAAGTGCAGCGCTAAAAATAAACAGAAAATTCGATCTAGAAAGTTCTGGTCTAGAAAATTCGATCTAAAAAGTTCGTTCTGAAAATATCAAAAGTTCATAGAATCAGCGATAAAGTAGATATGACACAGCTTATGAGAAATCCGGAACAAATGGCAGAAGTGCGCACTCACCGACCGCGCATAGGAAATGCGCATATGTTTAATCAATTCTGCAGAGTATCGATCTCCCTCAGGAAGGGGTGTTATCATGCGATGGTCAGCTGGGCTCACAGAACCTCCCAAGGATCGGGATAGATCGGCCGGATACAGACTCCAGGTGAAGGCTTCCCTCCTCTGGATGAAGTGGAAAACGGTGTCTGCTGACCCCTCAATAAGGGGCAAAGAGTGGGAGAGTACCCATAGTGTAGTATTTCAAAAGATAATTTTATTGGTAATAAACAGTGCAGGGTATATCAGTAGTGATGCTAGGCAGATGGCCAGACATATAAAGTGAATCACATAAAATTAGATTAAAAAGCAAAAACCACTGACCCTGAATGAAGAAGCCGCCAGACCTCCTCGTGGTCTGGGCGGCAATAAGGCGTCACAGGCTGTCAGTTCCTCCTGAGGCCTTTCGTGCTAAGGCACATCATCAGAGGGGATACTGACAGCTCTGTGACAGACGCCGAATCTTCAAATAGCAAAAAACGGGAGTCGCGCATGCGCACTGACTCGCCGCCATTTTCGGAGAGACCGTGCAACTGCGCATGCGCGCGCGGCTAAGCGCCATTTTGCCGTGGATATCTGGAACTGTCAGCTGTAATGCATTACATACCGCTGACAGAGCACATAGAACAGTGCATTTGAGCCAGAACTGATGGCTCACGATCCCAGGGGAGATAATCAATATGGGAATCCTGGTTTATATCCAGTCAGGACAGCTACAAACCACTTCCTTAAATAATGTAGCACCAAGCTTGGTGACAGAAAAGGGGAATAAACTAATATACCCACGGTGTAAAGGGTGCTCCAGGTCCTCAAATCTTATTAATTAAAATCTTATAAAAAATAAAACGTCACAGAAAGTACAATAATACTAACAGTGAAATTAAAATGATACTTTTAAAAGAGCAAAGGTACAAAGCTATAATGTGCAATAATCATCCTAATCAAAAAACAATGCCAGTAAACCGGCATTTAGAGACTAAAAAGATAGCTGGGACATGATAGTACCCAGCGATCCAAGTATAAAATGGAACGCTAAATGCTACTAATTAGTGGTTATATTCCCGGGGATATGATGGTGAGTTGCAAGTCCCCTTGATAAGTGATTAATCACCATTTGGTGAGGTTCGGAGAAAACATTAGTTTGTCCATGGCACGAAGGTGCTCAAGATTCAACAATCAGTGATATGCATAAAAAATACGCATTTAAATGAATAAAAAAATGAATAAAAAGGAAGGAAATATATTCCAATGTAAAAACACCCTTATTAATACGCTAAAATCAGCTCATGAATTAATGAATAGGATAGCATAAAATAGTGAATAGAATAGCATAGAATGAAATAGGATAGCCACAAAAAAAATGTAAACAAAGGTCAATATTTGTCAATCCTGAGTAAAAAGTCAAAAGTGCGTCTAGAGAAAAATGGGTATACCGGATGTTAATTGTTTGCTATAAAGCAGTTAATATCAATCTCAATATTATGTCCCCTAGGGTATAGGGTATCTAATTCGTAGACAGTTGACAGTTCCAGATTCCACGGCAAAATGGCGCTTAGCCGCGCGCGCGCATGCGCAGTTGCACGGTCTCTCCGAAAATGGCGGCGAGTCAGTGCGCATGCGCGACTCCGTTTTTTGCTATTTGAATTCGGCGTCTGTCACAGAGCTGTCAGTATCCCCTCTGATGATGTGCCTTAGCACGAAAGGCCTCAGGAGGAACTGACAGCCTGTGACGCCTTATTGCCGCCCAGACCACGAGGAGGTCTGGCGGCTTCTTCATTCAGGGTCAGTGGTTTTTGCTTTTTAATCTAATTTTATGTGATTCACTTTATATGTCTGGCCATCTGCCTAGCATCACTAACTGATATACCCTGCACTGTTTATTACCAATAAAATTATCTTTTGAAATACTACACTATGGGTACTCTCCCACTCTTTGCCCCTTATTGAGGGGTCAGCAGACACCGTTTTCCACTTCATCCAGAGGAGGGAAGCCTTCACCTGGAGTCTGTATCCGGCCGATCTATCCCGATCCTTGGGAGGTTCTGTGAGCCCAGCTGACATCGCATGATAACACCCCTTCCTGAGGGAGATCGATACTCTGCAGAATTGATTAAACATATGCGCATTTCCTATGCGCGGTCGGTGAGAGTGCGCACACTTCTGCCCATTTGTTCCGGATTTCTCATAAGCTGTGTCATATCTACTTTATCGCTGATTCTATGAACTTTTTGATATTTTCAGAACGAACTTTTTAGATCGAATTTTCTAGACCAGACTTTCTAGATCGAATTTTCTGTTTATTTTTAGCGCTGCACTTTATTTATTTAGGAAAGGAATACTGTTGTTTGATATAAAGTTGAAAACTTTGGGGATGAGGAAGCTGAGCCTGAGAATGCCCCTACCTTGATGGTCAGTGGGAAGACTGTCTCTCTTACAGTGGTAGTCAGAATGCCACCATTACAGACAGCTCATTGGTATCATGCTGTTGGCTTTGCCGAGTGGCATTGTCCCAAGAACCTTGCAGACACCATCCAAGTCAATCACCCATGACTCAAGGAACCCCTAGCAACCTCTAGAGGAAACCTGGAGTTCCACGGAACCCTTGTTGAGAATTGCTGTTCTAAATGTTAGGAAAAACACAATGAGGGGTTTATGCAGATTGATGCAGAATAAACCAAGAGCCAGTCCAGTTTAAATCCAAAAAAACTGATTTGTAATCATTTGAAAGAAACTCTGTAACTGATTGTGTGGAAATTCAAGAAAACAATTCTATGTATTTCTGAAGAATGCATAACTTTTTTTGAAAATATTTTTATTCTACCTACAGTACCTCTGGTCCTGGAAAGGGGAATGGAATCTGACAAGCCTACCTCTAAAAAGTTCTCAGCTAATCGATTCAGGTCAATCAATATACGTGGCGTAGCAATATGATGGTGAGTCACGCAGACATTCACACTCGAGCATGTTCTGATATGTTCTAGCCTGCACTCTCCTGGGTTGCAGACCAGTGGACTCAGTCTTTACAGAGTAGTAGAAGAAATAAAATGTGTATGTGTTGCTCTGTTGGCGGAACATGAGTGACAGGAAACTGGAGCAACGAATTAACAAATTTTGTGTGAAAATTG